TGAGGGTGTGAGGATATGGATATAATGATTGTAGTAACCATTTTACAACATTCCTCATACTTATCCTTGATATACACAACTATTTTCAAGTATAAAATTTATTGAATAAAAATAAATATAATAATTACAAATATATTGATTCTTTTACAATGAAAATCAAAATAAATTGATGAGAATAGAGTCATTGAATTATGACTAATTATTTGAGTGTGTTATCTTCATATGTTTATGATTAATTGACGCATTTGATTCCTTGTTTATGTTCTTACTCAACCACACGTGTATTGGAAATATATATTCATATTTGCTGCAATGAGATCTACAATTGATTTTCAAGTAAAGTTCTGTCACATTAAGAAATAGATAATTCGATAATGAATTAATCTAGAATAAAAATCCATAAGATTTTATTGTGAGTACTTGGATAGACGAAGTTGGAATATCGAACGATTTTCGTTGTATTCATAATCGCATTTGACGCACTAATTTTTATTTTCGATCCAAAATGGAGTTTGAAATGGTGCAATTAGTGATTCTACAGTACCGCTATTTGAATTAAAATCTCGAGAATTCAAAAATCAGAATTGAAACGTGCTTAATAATGGTAATTTCATTTGAATGAATTCTTTCCAACGAGAACCATCACAAAATTGACGATCAATTGAAGATTCTTTAGCATAGGTAAATGTAAAAGGAAAGATTCAATTGTGTCCATTTGTAAATCATACCAATCGTTGATCGATGCTGTAATCTACATAGAACAGGCCATTGTATTTGATTTTTTAGATTAACTTCTCCATCGAATTCAAATTTACGAAGATCTTTATGTAAAATGATATATGATAGAAGTATCAAATCAAAACTCTTGTTGTAATAATATTTCGAAGAATTACCGGGTGAAATTGAACATGATTTAAGAGGATATTTCATTATATGTTTTTCAAATACTTGAAATTCTTCTGTATCTACATTGATGAGATTTAATGAATGTAATCGAATAAATTGACCACTTGTTTGTAATTTATCTGCAAGTGTGGGTGTAAGTGTGGGTGAGGGTGTGGGTGTGAGTATTCTCTTTATCTTTATCCACACTCACCCCACCCATCCTTAAAAGTAAAAACATAAGAAACTAGAGATACGTAAATACGAAAACATGAATAAGTAATCGAATAAGAGTTTTATTTCAGCTTATACAAGATATTAATACATTATTAATAAGTTAATTAGATTATAGTACTATTCATATATAAAGAAGATGGATGTAGATATGAATATTGATCTTTGATTGGCTCACATTCACACCCTGCGTTATGTAATAAAACGAGGATATCAATACTGATAATAATTTGTGAGCGTGTCGTCCTAACTACAAGTCGAATCGCTCGAGGCTACTAACTCGAAGATGGTGAAGATGGATAAGTAATGATAGTAATAATTTATTGGAAATAAATTAGCACTATAAATAGTACAGTATAACAAAGGTGAAACTAGATAATGATCATGCAACCTCACAAAGAAAAAACTAATGAAACTACAGAAATGATCAAATGAAAGATGATGAAAAGAGAAAATGTGTGTGACTAACAAGAGGATGATGTATATCATCCTCTAACATTATTACACACACGCACTCTTGTTTTTATTGTTTACAATAAAAAAAGCAAAAGACAAAGCATGAAGCAAACGAACAAATTTCAAAAAACATAAATTCTAAAAGATTATTGTCTTGATGTAGTTGCATAAGTATGTATCATCATAAGCGAGTATAGGTACCCGCATTTGTATCGAATAGAAGTGTTGTATTATATGATACTGCATATGCTTGATTTACTGAATAAGTTATGCTTGGTCCTGATGATGATTCTATGATTAAATAAAAAAAACCGTTAGCACAATTACTGTGGAATTAAAATGTGAAACACAATATAGCTACTATAACATCAGTTAATGCTAATTAATAACGTTTCTGCACGATCTGCAGTGAATTCTCCTCATAATAAAAGGTCCTTCGATTTTAGAAGATCTCCCCGAGACCATAATGTGTTCAACCTACTAAATTATCCTCTAAGTTTCTAGAACGTTTTTTTTATTAAACAAACAGCTAAAACTCTTGATAAAAAAATCTAGGAATATGTTCAGAATATTTTATTATTGAGGAGAAGTCATTTATAGCTCACATCTATAATAAACTCTGCTCAGCATTTGTAACGGCTTTTGATGTTATGTTAGTTACAATATGTGGGAAGAGAAGGAAATACAAAATACTGTCCTATACACTATATCACTCCTTTCAGATTGTGTTTTACAATAGTTTAGGTCTTCATTAGAATGAAAGAAACAAGAAAAAATAGCTTACGTTGTACACCAATAGTTGCTGAACTACTTCCGGCGTATATTTCGAAATAAACATATTTAACAATATTTGGTAAATTTTCATAAAATAGCATTTGAAAATGATAATATTGTGCTGGTGAAGAAATAGGACTTAAATAATATTCGAAACCTGTTATTTGATTAGGTGCTGTTCCAGTGGTTGAATAATAAACCATTTGACCAGTACTACCATAGATCATCAGATCATCCCAGAAAGCAAATGCTGTTGGACCTCCAACATTTGTAGTTGGAAGATTTCCATTTGAATAAGCACTAGTACAACTGTCAAGACAGAGAAGCTAAAACACATTTTATTTACTACAAAACTATGTTCAAAAACTAACTTACCCCATTACTTGATACAGTAACAGAATTAGTACTATAATTATAGAGTGTAATATTGACTGAAAGGGTAACAGGCTGTATATTATCATCGGTAGTCACACCAGCCCAGGCAGATATAGGAATTGCTCCACTAAGTTTTATATTAGGTGCTGTCTCACATATACCACCTGAACACATTGTATAATTTGATGAACAAACAAAGCCAATCGTTCCACAATTATTAAAATCACTTAGTAGATCAACACATGTTACGGATGGTGTTTCAGTAAAACCAGAAGGACAAATTCCAGTTGCTAAAATCATAGATATATTTATTAAACACTTTGATGAGCGTGTGGGTAATATGTCAACCTCTCAACCATACTATATACCCACATCCTCACTTTAAAGAGGCGAGGTGATAGTATGTATGCATGAAGTTGAGGGTATAGATGAGAGTTTAATATATCACTTATACCCACATCCTCTGAAAACAGTCTATGTCATTATTAAACTATTTTGCTGACTCACTGGTGGTTGTTGTTGTTGTTGTTGTTGTTGTTGTTGTTGTTGTGGATGTGGAAGTCGTAGAGGTTGAGGTTGTGGATGTGGATGATGTAGATTTTGTTGTGGTTGAAGATATCGTTGTAACTGTTTTTGTCACAGCTAAATACAAATATCTGTATTTAGGAAAACCGAAATGAATATATTCGTGAAATACTCTTGTTATTTTTCTTTTTCGATGAAGAATTATCTATTTTTTACTTATTAATTATCCAGGTGGTCAAGATAACAATAATAATAGTGAATGAATTAAAAATGACTATCAAAATTTTTAGTAGCATCACCCTTTATCTGTTTTCTTAAGTAACTAAATAATTCCGAAAAGAAATAAAATGCTAATATTTTTCTTCTTTGTCAGAGAATTTCTAAACTAGATACAAAATTTGATTGGAGACCTTTAATATTTTGTTTATGTTTTGATTTAAAACAAAATTGAAATTTGGTTTGTATTTTAAGGAGAAACAGAAAAATTGTAAGATCGAACTTTTCAAGGCTTGCTTTTCTTTTCTTTTGAGAGGATACCTTATCTTTTAATTAAAATTTCAATTTATTCGATACAATCTTTTCGTTTTAATAGGATTCTCTCATTACATGAAGATTTTTTTCAATAAAAAATCATCGAAAAATCTCGAGATTTTGAAGTTTTAAAAATATGTATGTGTATTACGCATATATTAACGGTCAGATATGCAAGAAGTAATTAAAATATATTGAGTTGTAGGATGTACTAGCATATGAAAGCATCATTTCAGAAGTCACTAGCTAATGAAATTTTGATCAAACTTTTAAAGCAAAGAGTTTTGATATTTACTCTGTGTTGTCAATGTTTGTTTTGAAGACGTTAGCCAGAGTGCAGTAACGATGGCTAATACCAAACCAGCTGTGAGTATACCTATTAATAGACCATAAAAGAATGGTGATAATGATGTGCAGTATTGTGAGAGTTTGTTTGATGACATCCTTCTTAAAAAAATAGCAATGTAATGTATCTTGAAACTTAACAGATTGCTAGTTTATTTTACCTTTTATCTTTTTGATCGTTCGAGTTATGTTGATTAACATCTTGAATAGAAATATCATTCAAAACTGTTGTGATCCTGTTTGTGCTTATCGTCAAATCTTGAGAATAAGATGGATTAATTTGCGTTATCGACCACTCACGCATCTATAAATATTGAGATTTCTTTCTAACTGAAGTAATATTTATTATTTGCGATGAATATATTGTTTTAAAAATAACATTGTTTGCATTTCATTATGTAAACATATTCATTTTCTTCTTAATCAAGAATGAAATGATGACATAGTTGTTCTACTTGCAATTTTCAATTTATTTGGGGGTGCGAGTGTATGTGAGTCTCTTTACTCTATCTTTCATCCACACTCACAGTCATCGTGTTGATTTGAATTGATTAAAATATTTGAAGACTTTTTTTGAATCTGCGCATATTCTTTCGCAATAAAATGCGTACGTGATTGGAAAACAAAGTTACGAATATTATTAATCTATACAATCAATGAAACGAATTATTCGGCAATGCGAACATACCATCATATATACACAATAGCATCAAGAATTTACAAGCTATTTGGAATTTTTTTCAAATCGTGTCATCTCCGCAATTTCATTTTGGGAAGTTTCACGTTTAAATCATTTGAAAAAAAGTCAAATAAATAGCTTTATTAGTTATATGTAGATCGTAAATATATAGTTGAAATATTCAGCGTATGGGTGTTTTAAATAATTATGAAACTCGAGCGAAAGCTTCGAATACTTTTTCAAAAGTAGGAACTATACTAATTCATGATTTAAGTGGTGTTGGCCATTCTATTATTATCGAACATCAAGCATTTCATGGTTATGCTTTGTTCAATGAAAATATTCAAAAACATAGTATTGATTATATAGTAGATAAATTAAGAAAGAGATTTAAGGAATTTCGAGATATTTACGAAGATATAAGCAAAAAATATCTTACAATTACAACTGAATTTGAAAGATTAGTTTTAGAGACAAAAATAATCTTTTAAATCAGATACCGTCGATTGAATTGCAAATGTAAGAGATATACAATTCCAAAGTTTTTATTACATATTTTTGCTTTGTGGATACTTCAAAATGCAAGTCATTACTTTGTGGTCGAATATATTAACAATAAAAACAGCTATCTTCATAAGTTTCATACAGTTCAAGTTGTTTTAGTAATTCACATGCTCGGTATTGGTGATGAAAAAAAAA